GCCTTGAACTCACTGTGTGGCACAGGCTGGCCTTGAGCTTGCAGTGATCCTCCTGCCGCGGCCTCTAAATGCTATGATTATAGATGAGTGCCAGGACTTTACATCTTGCTACACTTTTGAATTTGGTTAGTAGTTCTAGGGGTTCTTTGGTGGAGTTTGTATAGCCTTCTATATAGAGGATTATGTCATCTGCAAATAATGATAATTTAACTTCTTCTTTACCTGTCAACATACCTTTTATTTCTTTGTCCTAATTGCCCTGGCTAGTATTTTGGGAACTATGTTGAACAAAAGTGGTGATAGTGTGTGTGTGCATCCTTGTCATGTTCCTAATTTTAGAGGGAAAGCTTTCAGCTCCTCTCTGTTAAGTATGATCTTGGCTGTTGGTTTGTCATAGATGGCTTTTATCAGATTTTTGTTTGTTTTTTGAGACAGAGCCTCACTATGTAGTTAAGACTGACCTGAAACTCACTGTGTAGCCCAGGCTGGTCTCGAACTCACAGCGATCCTCCTGCCTCAGCCTCCCAAGTGCTGGGATTACAGGCGTGCACCACTACGCCTGGCTTTTCAGATTACGATAAAGGGCCTCTGTTCCTATTTCCTTGAAGATTTTTTTAAACCATGAATGGATGCTGAATTTTGTCAAATGCTTTTTTACATCTATTAAAATGATCATGTGATTTTTGTTCTTCTATTTATATGATGAAAAACATGTATTAATTTGTATATGTTAAACCATTCCTACATCCCTGGAATAAATACTACTTAGTCATGATGTGTGATCTTTTTGATGATTTGCTGCATTCTGTTTGTCAGTATTTTATTGAGGAGTATTATGTCTATAGTCATTAAAGAAATTGGTCTGGAATTCTGTTTTTTTAGCTGGCTCCTTTTGGTTTTGGAATCAGGGTAATGTTTTCTTCGAGGAATGACTTTGGGAGGACCGCTTCTCTTTCAATTTCATTAAAGAGTTTGAAGAGTATTGATGTTAGAACTTCTCTAAAGTTCTTGTAAAATTCAGCAGTGAATCCACTGGAATCTGGGCTTTTATAGTTGGTCATTTTTTTAAATTACTTCCTCAATGTCACTGTTGATATTGGCTTTTTTAAAGTTTTTATGTCTTCTAGAAAGATGGCAGAGCAGTAAGCAGCAATCAATCAGCCCATCCAAGATTTGGAATCTGGACACTGGAAAATAATAGCCTGGAGAAGAAGGAAGGAGGTAGAGTCCTGGGACCCAGGAAGGATCGGACAGAAAGGCTGTGGCCTGAGAGAAATAGAGACAGAACATAATGCAGGCAAAGAAAGAGGCAATCTCTCCTTTCTCCCTGGCTCCTGGCTTACAGCTCATGAGAAAGGAGGGCTCAATCTACAAGAGTCACAGTGAAGGCTATGACTCCAAAAGCCTTCATGGAGAAACCCAGTGGTGGAACAGATGCAGATACTGTGAGCTATAACAGTAGGTGAGTGACTCCAGCCCAAGTACCCAATGTATCACCTGTAGTGAGTTCTTGGATGCCATACCAGGGAAGAGGCCGACTGAGCCCGGGACTTGAGTGGGTACATGTTGCCTTTTATTTCAGGGCTCCCAGTTTTATATTCCCATAGTGATTGAGTGAGGGTCAGCCACAGGAGACATCTGTGGTCAGGAAGCCATGTGGTCAGGCCAGCAGGAGACACCCAGGGTGCCTAGAAACTGTGGTGACTGTTAATTTACCACCTTTAATTGTATGAAGCAGCTTTGTGGTTATATAACAAAATCTAAAACAAACAAGAACATTGTATACTATAAAGATGCCCTCAGTATGTTGATTTTACCATCAAGGAAGAAAATTAAAAAGAGGATGGTGGGGGGAAATAGAGAAATAGAAGAAGAGGAAGCATTTAGAAGCAAGGTTGGAGAACAAAGAAAGATCGTGCAAACTTTGGGAAACTGGTAAAGAAGACAGGAAGGAAAGAGAGAAGGAAGAAATAAAAATAGGAACAAAACAGCAACAACAGCAAAAAAGCTAGAAACAATATTCACAGTTATATAAAAACAAGGAAAAAAGAAACAGCAGAAAGAAAATAAGAAAAAAGTGTAAGGTGTGTCTCTGCTGTCAGTGGTAGACAAGGTGGGCAGACAGAGTCTAGGTCTGTGTTGATTAATTTCAACAAGCCAGACCTAGATTGACATGAGGTAGTGGATAATCCCAGCAAGCCTGCTCCTTTGGCTCTGAGGCTCATGGCGGTTTCTGGCTGTGAGGCTGGAACTTGTTTTTTTCAGCCTGCAGCACTTTGTGTACCTCCTCCTGGCTTGAACTTGGTTCCATCTCATCCTAAGGGAACCAGCTCACAGCTCTGAGTTCTGAGCTCAGCTGGCCCTTCTCCAAGATGGCTACTGACTAGTCACCCTCTCCTGGGGGCATCTGAACCTGAATAACTCACCAGCATCTGCAGCCTGCTGTGTCCACTGCTCTGTTCCACTGGTGTGTTTCTCTGTGGAGGCCTCTGAAATCACCAGTAGTCACCGTGTGTCTGCAGGTTTGAGTCACCCTTCCCATGCAGTGAGTCAGGGCTCGGAGAGAAAGCGCCACTTGCCGCCTCCTTCGTCATCGAAGTCTCTCTCTTCGCTCTCCCTATGGGCTTCAGTTCTTGCTTCAGATCCTTGCTCAGTCTCAGGGACCCACTTCCCTCCTTCTCCTCCTCCATGTGTTGCTAGATTCCAGCGCCTGGATGCCAGAGCTCAGAGAAGCTGTTTCTCTGCTCTTCACCAGTCCTGCATCTTCCTGGAAGTCCCCTATCAGCTTTTTAAATTTTAATTTACTTAATCTTTCTTTTTAGCTTTTTCTCTTTTGTCCCTAATACTTTGTTCTTTATAGTCTATGCTTATCATCAATGTATCAGTACAAGTGTGAGAACTAAGCCAAAAGGAACATGAGCCTATATATTCAAGGAAGTAAATTTTCATTTATAATGGGAAAAGGCCAAGTTCTGAAAGATAGTCAACTGGACTATCATTCCCAATTGCCTTTTTTGTTGCTGTTCTTGTTACTGATGCTAACCACCAAATTCAGACTTGCCAGGAGTAGCGCGGCTTGTTTATTCCATTTCTTGGCTGAAGACGGGAACTACATTTCCCAGAATCCTCTCTCCTTTATGGCTCCAAGTTAGAAAAGGGCAAAAGAGGAATTTGTGTGAGATTCAGGAATCGAGTGAGACTGAAGCCATGACTCTCAGAAGGTCACTGCAGTGAGGCTGGGTGACACAGGCAGCTCTCCGAGAGTCCCAGCTTGTCTCTGTCCACTCTGCGCCTGGCCTCTCTTGCCACCTGCTGGACCTCTCATCAATAGCAGCCCAACTGCAAGGATCACAAGCTGTCACGTTTCCCCAGGGACGTCACTCGCCGCCGCAGACCTCTCCCCGCGCACGCCTTTTGCAATCCCACCTTGCAACTGGCCACATTTGTTTTTTTCCTAGACTTTCTGCTGTCCACCCACACTGGCACTTCAGCAGGCTGTTGGATGCCAATTTTCTGACCCTCTGTATGCTCTTGGCAGATCTATGCCTTTACAACCTATGTGTTGGTGCAAGGTCTAATTCTTACAGCAAGAGTTTTGATCCTTGCGTATTCACAGCAGCTGTGTTTTCCCACTGATACACTCACACCTTTTCAGCCTGTGTGTTCTACCATCTTAATTACATCTTCCCTCAGAGTTGCACATTGGACACCTCAATTTCACACCTCGTACTCCCCCAACGCCCCTCCGGGAGGAAACAGGGCACTGGTATTAAAAATCTTTCACCTTGCATTCTTCTCTTAATTTTATCAGAAGCCCCCAACAGAGCTCCCCTTCGGTCTTATTAGTCAGATCAGAGGCTCACGCCTCCCTCTGGCCCCTGAGAAAAAGGCTGAATTACCTTGATTGGTGCAGGAGTGTCCTACACCGAGGGAGCCCGGGAAGTTGTTCTTTATCTCTTTTCTGTGGTATTAGGGATGGAACACAGGTCCACGCACATGCTGGATAAGTGCTCTCTACCACTGAGCCACCTCCCCAGCCCCTGGAAGTTTTTAAAGCATGGTTTTACTTGCATCCAACTTGCAGAATTATAACTTAACTGTTCTGGGATGAGGCCATCACATTGATATTTGTACAGTTCACTCGCAGCGATCATAATATCCAGCCAGAGTTGAGAACCAGTGCTTTGATCAAACACGATTCATTCTCTGAAGCCATTTTGCACTGATGCCTGATAACGCTGGGTTCTGTACAAGGAGGAAGGTGAGAATGAAAGGTAGAGGGAAAGAGAATCAAGGCTTATTCACACAGATCATCTCATTTTAGGGAGATCTGTAGAATTAGAGGAAATATGACAAAATTCCCGCAGGATTTGTGACCCTGTTACAACACCTCCCGAGTGCTGGGTTTATAGGCATGCGCCAGCTCTCTAACTATTCTTAGGGGCTTTATATCATATAAGATGTGAATCTGTTTTAGAAAGCAATTACCAAGTAGAAGCTAAGCAAGTTACTCCTCTAACTCTTCCAAAGTGGAAAGGCCTGGAAGTTGTGTCAAAGATGCAGCCCAGAACCTTTCCAAAGGTGTTTGTTTAGATGCATTTTAGTATTATGCTGTCATTAGCGGTTTGATGTAAATTCTGACCTCCTGGTCTGTGTCAGAGGATGGCAAGGACCGCGTGGGTCCTCACACTTTGTCTTCTGGGCCCAACACGTGCACTGTTAAGTACGTGCAGTGAAGTCTACTTAACTACTTTATGCTTCTCTTGTGCTAATCGATTAAAAAACGGGCAGCTTTCGCAGGCCGGGATTTTGGCCTTTCTTCCTGCCCCTACCCGTGCCAACAAACCACAGAGCCTCCCTACTGCTTTCTAAAAGTTTTTTTTTCTCAAATACATATGTATTGGCTTGGAAAAAAAGATTTAATGATCAAATTTGTCACTTCATACTTGAATAAATCCTAGTGTGCATGATATAAATTGTTATATACAAAATAGGGGCTAGTAAACAGAAAAAGAATTTTACAGGGTTTTTTTTTAGCATACTGATTTCCTTATGATTACATTTAAATTAGAGAAACATTTGGCAGAGATTGTACTAAGACAGAGCTCTCTGTTAAGGGAACAGCTGTTTAAATATGTTGAAACGAGGGGCAAGCCTAGATGCAGGTATTTTCATGTTACAAATTTTGCATCATAATGAGGATTAGAAATTCAAAGATGAGTCATTTCCTTCTGGCTGGAGTCTCCCTTGGGGAGAGGTGGGAGTTCTTGGGTACGTTCCGTGGGGCCATCTTATCAGCATTATTGGTGGGCTTCCACTTGACCAGGTCTGTAATGAACACAGACAACTGAACAGAATTACAAACCACAGTCCCGAATCCCGTTTTGTTTGGGTTTTGGTGTTTTGAGCGAAGTATGTCAAGACCAGCCTTGAACTCACTCGGACTCTGGGTGTCCTCCTGCTCAGCCCTCCGCTGGGATTGCAAGCACAGAGGCCACCACACCTGGCTCCAAGTCTCGTGTGACTCACCTGTGTTAGTAGGAAGCAAGAGTGTTTCAACTAGTAAAGATCCTCTTATAAAACTAGTCTTTATATAAATATTTCTCCCCAATTAACATTAGCAAAGTCAATTCCATCCAAGCCTGGTTGTCATTTTCTTGTCAATCAATTCAGCCAATGATATACTGTAAACCCGTGGAACTGAATTTAAGCTGCTGGCTGTTACAAAACCAATGAAAGTGATGTCTGAGAACTGCTCACATCACAAGCTGTCGTCAGATGAGGATCTGGCAGAGTTAGTCCAAAATTTTAAAATTCTGCATATGGGTGTCATATGTCAATAGGATGCCTCAGGAAAAAATTGTCTGAATAATGCTTTTTAAAGGCTTTTGGAAAAATTAAAGTCCTGCAATATTTCTGTGAACACGATCTTCTCCGTGATCTCAGTGCACAGGTCACAATGAAAGGGGCGTGGCATTGCCCTGACTGACAGTTTGGAAGCTCCCCTCTGCTCCTCCCCACCAACACTCGGTCCATTAAACTGAAATGAATGACTGAGCTCTTCGATTCCCTATAGAAGCCTCCATTATGTTATTTTCAGAGTATGAGGGCATATGTGCCACTTTGCATGTCTTAATGATTCAACTTTTCTCCGTCTACTCTGCACAGCAACAGCCCGACATCCGTGAATAAAAAGGGAGAATGCAGGGGTAGAGTTGATTCCCATTCTCCTGTTCTGTGCTCTGCTTTGTACCCAATAGTCGATCTGCATAGGATACAGGTTCCGAGGCCCAGTGCCTTCCTATCCAGTAAAGGGAGGGGATGCGGGAGACAAGAGATTAAAGGGGAGGAGGACCGAGCATAGGCGTGGTCTGCTGTCTTCCAGGGAGCGGCAGCTTCACCCAGGCAGCGCCCTTCGGCTGACTGCACCGCCTCCCTTGCTCTTTGGTTTGGGAGCGATACCTACCACAAAAGCTCTTACTTTCCCTTCGTTAGCGGCCCACTGAGTGTTCCCGTGTTTCATGGAGACAATGACTCACACAATGGCTAAATACCATATTCTGCTATACAAAGATTCAAAATCCTCATCAACACGTTACATGCTCGCATTGATACTGTATATAAATATGTAATGTAAATAATGTCAGCCCACAGGGTAAGTTGAACCCAGCTTGCCAAAGTGAATCATAGCATCCTTTTTCTGTTATCTACAAGCATTCCTTGAAAATAACTAAAATTCCTTAATGAAATGTAAAACTACACTCGTGTATGTTCTTGATGGCCGTGGGCTAAAATTCCTTAATGAAATGTAAAACTACACTCGTGTATGTTCTTGATGGCCGTGGGCCTTCGTAACTGCTTTGCATTAGCCCTGATGTCCTCAGGTCTGAGACACAGCCTGACTTGTTGCAGGAAGCTGTGCTTTCTGAATTCCGCTGCTCTGAGTCTCAGTGCACAGGCTGACAAGTGTGCCCCAGTGCCACTGTGTGCTTCTCTCCCGTGCCCTGCACCTTTTAGCACCTCTGACGGGGCAGGAAACCAAATTGCTAAAGTCAGCTAAAGCTCTGAGTAGGTTTATGATTCTCTAACAAACACACTCAAGTGCCTGAGCTTTGTGATGCATATTTGGCTGCCTTTGCTGGTTGTTACATGGTGTTGCTGGGGATGAACTAAGTAACCCGCAGTGTGGCAGTGACTAACGCCGTGCACTTCTCTCCACCTCATTGACAGTCTCTTTCCTTTGCCGGGTGGCTTCATGACCAGCTCAGCCCACTGCGTCCAAGTGACACCTGCTGTGTCTTTCAGTCACTGTGGGACAGCTTGGCTTCTGATGTTGACTGTTTCAGTGTGGCTGTCCCATCACCTTGTTCTACAATGGACATCAAGTTTAAGTGGGCAATCTTAAGCCAAAAGTCTTAATCTTCAAACAGTTGAGATTGCAGCTGTTACAATACTGAGGTATTGTATTCTGACACACACACAAAAAGGTTTTCCTGCAAAAATAGAAGACAAAGTGAAAAAATTTCAATGTTTAATACAAGTCTGTTGGAAGAACAGTCTTTAATGAAAATGCCTCGATAGGAAAGTGTTTCAGGAACTCCAGTCTGAATTAGTGACAAAAGCAGCCACATACAGTTATAGTAAGTGTGGTTTAGTGGACAGATTCGAATTCTAAGTGGATTCGAATTCTTCAGTTCCATAACCTATCAGCGAAGCTCCTCCCTGGAAGCTCAAACCCTGTATATATAAAACTGGAGACATTATTATTGGAAGGAAATTTTATGAAAATTACTGGACAGTAAGATTTTTTTTTTTTGGTACCAGGGATTGAACTCGGGTCCTTGCGCTTGCAAGGCAGGCCACCGAACTGCTGAGCTAAATCCCCGGCCTGACAATAAGATTTTTAATGGCAACAATTATGATAGCGATATATGTTAATTGGTCAGCATGGCAATATAAATCTATCAAAGACTACAGAATTTCTCTCTATTCTTCTGCCACTGTCAATGTAACCATCTGAAGTAGTTAAAGGTAAATATAATTTTGTTTTACTTTTGTTCCAAGCTTCTGCTTAGGCTGGTTACCCCAAATGTAATGTAGAAAAACTGTCAGATACTTTTAAACCAGTCTTTAATTTTTAAATCAGTGTGGAGGCATGGCTATAAACATAATTCAAGAAATCAAGAATGTTGAACACAAACATGTATGGCACATACTACACTACTTAGAATTTCAATTTACATGTAACATTGTTGCTTTTATTTCCATTTCCATTTGAAGTATTTCCATCAAATTACATGCCCTCAAATTCTAACTGAAACATTAATTCTGGCAAGAGCTGGGGTTCTTACTGGTAACTCCGTTTGTTCTCTGCCAACACTCTTATTAAACACCTGGCCAGGTAAATAGTGCAGACGCCCAGAGAGGAGACTGCAGTGAAGTGCGGAGACCAGATGGTCCCGGGTCCCAGGAGTGAGTTATGAAGGTTGCAGTGCACTACGAAACAATCAATGGCATTTCCAGGATTCTTTCCACTAAATAGATGCAGATGGCATTATCTCGTTATGATTCAGTCATCATATTACTTCTGTAAGTGACATTCCAGTTCCTACAGACAGGCCTAGGCAACTACCATTTACACTGCCCCACCAACTGTAGCCACGTTTTAGATACCGCCTGGGAGTTTCACCAAGACTAACTCAGTTCTTATCAGACAGATGGGATCTTTCGGGGTATATTACAGGGATTCCTAGGATTCGCCATATTTACAAGATACAAAAAAGCAAATCTGATAATGTTGCATACTACACAGACAAGGTTTAAAGTGATCTTAGCACTACATACACACAATCCAATACTGCAAATTACACCTGTTAAACTTAGATTTTTATTAGTTATGATGGTACCTCCTCTCCCAATAAACACAAAAGCTGCTTTATGGGCCATGTGGTAATAATGTCATCGTCTAGTAATCGGTTACACAAATTTATCAAGTGTGGCCTGTATTTTAAAAAAATAGCTTAGGCTAAATTACTCTAGTCACAAATGATCTAAGATTTAAAGAATCATGGTCCCACAAGCATCTTTATCCTTTTGCCTTGGCTAAATTTTAAGGGTATGTAAGCACTGAAGTGACACGAAGAACTGGAAGCACATCTTCAGAACAGGATGGAACATCATCTTGCTCAGATTTCTAATCCACATTTAACTATTTTTAAAAATTGAGACAAGGACATCTGTCCCTTTTATGCAAATATAAAACTATGCAAAGGAAGTTATTTCAGATTGAAAAATAATTTCACTAAGCTGTCACATACTGAGGACTCAGGTCCAAGTTAACTTCGTTATTTTTAAAGGCATGTAATAATTTGCAAATGAGAAAACTAAGGTTCACAAGTTGCACAAAACCACTTAGTGGCTCACTGAGCTGTAAAAATCAAGATCTCCCACTACGTACTTTTGAGTTTATGACAGAGCAGTCAGTGCTGTTTGCAACCAGAACAAATTATGCCCATAACTGTGCTTACTTTAAACCTTCGTTCTAAAAGGACAGGGCAGTTTACATCAACTAGCATTAAATGAAGTGCAATTCATTCTCAATGATAAATGGATTTCATTATTTATTTAGATGTTTAAGCTCTCGCACTAAGTTTTTACAAGCTGGTGAACACTGACAAATTATTTCTCCCACAGAACTATAACCACACATTCCCAGACAGTATAAATATATGGTTGAACTAACATTAATACACATCACCGTTTTATCAATTACATAATAAAACAAATTATCAAGTATCCAAATATTAAGTTACACAGCTCAAAAGGCATATAAAATATTAGATGTCTGCTCAATTCATTAGCAGAAACTCACTTCTGTTTTTTGCAAGAGGTTGGGAAGAGAAGAAAAAAAAATCACACTTCAAACAAAAATAAGTTGGTAAACAACTTCTGATAAGAATGGAAAAAAATTACAAGAATTTCAGAAAATTTATGATTAAGAATTGTTCTAGCTACAATAACAAAGCATCTATACCTTTAAAAAAATATTTACTAAATTAAAGAGCATATTCTACATGTTCTGCACAAGACAAAGGCAACATTTTACTAAAAATATCGAATAGCCCACTCCTAGTCTTTTTTTCAGGCCCTCCCTGTTAAGCTGCACCTTGGAGTGCAAGCATTAAATTAACTGTAAGGCTTTTTTGTCTGAGACATTAAAGACATGTGCTTCTGTAACAATGTAGATTTTCAAAATGGAGGTTTCTCAGAATAGCACAAAATAAAAACCTTGTAGACATTTAATAATCACTGTAAGACTTGGTAATAATCAAAAAGAACCATCAATGTTTACACAAACCTGATGCAGACTGGTAGAGTGTGAGATGTAAACATAAAGTGAGCAGGCAAACAGCCACGCAGGCCTGACCGTGTTTGAAATGATGGAAGGAACAAACCACGGTCTAAAGTGTTCTCAGTTCCTGGAATTTTGGTTTTATGTGATGCTAAGAATGTAAGAGTATTGTGCTGGGTATTTGGCACCTAATCTTTCTAAATTTCTTATGTATCATTGAGATCCTGGTATGGGAACAGCCATAGAGACATAACTCAATATTGCATGATTTCAATTGGTACAGATGATAAGCACAATTTAAATGCTGAACAGTAGGAATCTTGTGGTAATAGTTCAAATACAATGATCATAACCCAAACACAGAGGTTGCGATTCTGTTAAGCTTGTGTGTAGCCTGTAAAACTGCTTTGCAACACTCCTACGGAAGCTCCTTTAGACTCATTCACTGAGCCGACACACGGGCTAATGTGTATGACAGTCAGGTCCTGCCATGAGCTGCACATCCCAAGCAGTCGCATCAGGCACCCCAGTTTTACTGCATGCAACAGTTGTTCCTGTGACCGTTGGAGTCTTTGAAGCGCAGCCGCATTTTAGGACGATACTTCTCCAGGTATAAGAGTTGCTTGCTGTTAAAAGCTCCGCGCCGCTTTCTGGAAGGAAAAGACAAAACCGACTTACAGTGACCGAAGTCAGAAAGTGGCTGCTTCTCGTGCCAAGGAAGCTGACTGCCACCACCACAGCAGGCACGTTCCAGGGAACTCAAATTTGACAGTATGACTTGCACTGGGTGCTTCATTTGCCTGCCACTGTCAAATTACCTCCCTTCAGAACGTGTGCATTTTTACCATCTTATCTAGACCACAATAAAATGCAAAATCACAACAGTTAGCCAGCAATCTAAAGCAAAACACTTTTTGGCTTAATTCCATTTTAAATTGGCTATAGACTCACTGACACTCAACAAGGAAACCCAAGAGGGTGCAAATGAAAAGAATCCAATCACTTACTGTCTTATGAACTGTACTGCATCTTCGTATTTCATTCCACCTTCAATTAATGCTAGGGCAACAAGCACTGGAGCTCTGGTAAGGTAAGAATCACTCGATAAATAATTATTTCAAAATCAAGTCCCAGGGGCCAGGGATTTTACTCAGTGGTTCCACCGCCTGCCTCGCAAGTGTAAGGACCCAAGTTCGATCCCCGGTACAATTAAAAAAAAAAAAAAAAAAAAAAAAAAAAAAAAAATTTCATGCCACCCATTCCCAAATTGAGAAGTGTAACTATTAATCATTTTTAATAAGCCATACCTGTAGCTAACCCCTGAATTTATGTATAAAAACTTTTTTTGTTTTGTTTTGTTTTTTGAGGCAAGGTCTCACTATGCAGTTGAGACTGGCCTGGAATTCACTATGTAGCCCAGGCTGGTCTCGAACATATGTATAAAAACTTGACGGAATTTATGAAGTGTACTTCTGGATAAACTCATGTGCTTGCTTGGCAGCACATGTCCTAAAATTAGGTCAATTCATACCTTTATCTAGACTCAAATTAAGAACTTCTCTTACCTCCCAAGGCCTGCAACACAATGGACAGCAATACAACAACCAGGTTCTTCACGAAACTTAATTTTTACAAGATTTAACCAGTCATCAACAATCTGGTTGGACGGTGGTGCACCATCATCAAAGGGCCAGTCCTAAATCAAGAAAATGTTTACATATTTTAGATATTAACAAGTTTAATCACACTTTATAAAGCCTGAATGTCAATGAAACATAACTCTTCTATCCTTATGAAGATTTAAACTTTAAACTTTTCTTTAGCTTTCACCTGTATTCATTTCAAAATTAAGACACTGCATAATTCTGTCACAGCTTTAAGCTTCTTAAGGTCTGTGGTTTAATAAACTTTGTTAACATGGTACCACACAAACAGGGATAGTTAAATACTTACAAAAACATGGATGCCTTCCTTCTCCACAAGAGTAGTGTCATACGTTGCTTCACATACTCTGACTATTGTGGTAACTCCATACTTCTTAAGTTCCTGGATAAAATACACATTAAAAAAAAAAACGAGGTCTTCCTCAGTATACCACTGTTGCTCATTATTTGATATTCTGCTCATTGTGACCAATACATATGCTGGGTAATAGACAATCACGCAAACAATGGTACAACTTCCTATGTATGTTTAACCTGATACAATCTTGTTTAAAACAGAACTCTATAAAAGTAAAAATATTCAACTAGAAATCCTTAAAAACCCGGTCCTCCATATGCTGGTTAGTGTCATGGCAACACTGGCTTGCGATGAATACAACCAAAAGAACCAGTCACAACCAATCAAGTGACCTAACTTGACTACATTACAATAACTTAAGCCTTTACTCATTTGAAGTAGGTACAAGAAGTACAATACAGCAAGTTTCAAACCTACTATCATTTAAAATTATAGGCTTTAAAATGCATTACAGATTATAACTCTTCTGACATTTAAAAATGCATGAAAAATAGAAGCAGCATTAAAGTACTTCCATATCATCCGAGCAATCTATTTACTATTTCTGTAGGATATTTATGAAAAAAAAGTGTGTGTTCAGGTAAATCATTGGGTATTATATTCCTTCCCTAATAAGAGGTCAGTAGGTAGTAAGGCAAATTTGGCTACAAATCTGCCAGCAAGTAGCAGCAGAATGAGTAGAAAAAATTGAATTCTTTTTTGGTACAAGGGATCAAACTCGGGTCCTTGCACTTGCGAGGCAGGCCGTGGAACCACTAGCTAAATCCCTGGCTAAAAATTGGATTCTAAGCATTGTGTGGGGCCCAAGACATAACCTAACTTGGGTTCATGGCAGTAAGCTAAGTCGATGGGACAAAATCCATAAATGGTGGCTTTCCCCTGTCAATTCCTCACAAGAGAGGGCTATCCAGTTCAACTTTCCACAGTTATGCAAACTCAAAAAGATGAAGAACCAGCTATTCACTTATAAATTCATATGTGTGCACATATCCCACTCAAACTGTGTAAAGTAATTTACCTCTCACTTAATGAACAGAACGATAACTCATCTCTAGGAACTACACCTATAGGTACATCATCTCATATCTTCTAAAGCAGTATTTTCATAGCAAGAAGTTTCACTTACACTATAGTCGATTTAGTTCATAAATATTACCAACTCTTACCTCTATAAACTTGTTTAAGGTTGCATTGGTTGGATTGTGTGTAATGAGGAATCTCATGCTCTTGTATGTGACTTCCACAGGAGCGGGGCGGTTCATTCGAGCCATGTTAATTTAGTTAAAAAAAAAAAAAACACTCAAAGAGGATTATGAAAGATTTAAAAACTTGAATAGAAATGATGCAAGAAACTGAAGTCTACTTCAATATACTCCACTTGAACTTCTCAGTGCTTTGAGATGGCCTTGGGAGTGAGTACCGGGAAACGAAATGAACCTCCTAAGCAGCAGCAATCCTTCGATCCAGTAATACTGAGGCAAGAGAAAGGAAGTGCACTAAGGTTTACCCCATCCAGGTCAGAACTCCTGTTAAATGCTCTACGATTTAAATTCACCACTTCTGTGTCCAGGTGAGCCTCTCGCGGGGCTTCTCGGTGGAGCAGGAATGGGTCTCTACAGTTCACTTGTCTGCATAGAGGTCGTGCTGTGCCTGGCAGTAATCTCCACTGCCCTTCAGAAACTCCATAAATGTGTGACCGAGAACACCACAGAACTGCTGTTTAAAAGAAAAAAAAAAGGACAAAAGGTATTTACCAATTCAAAGAGAATATGAGCTGGGAGTGGCGGCACACGCCTATAATCCCAGCAGCCTGTAATCCCAGCACTGGGGAGGATGAGGCAGGAGGATTAGATCGCTGTGAGTTTGAGACCAGCTTGGGCTACACAGTAAATTCCAGGTCAATCTCAACTACATAGTGAGACCCTGTCTCAAAACATACACACACAAAACACAAAAAAAAAAGTTTTTACAGTACTCCAGTGTATGACTATTTTTTTCAAATTAGAGCCCAAGGTATTTTACTTGAATAACAAAATGTAAGGGGTGTTGCTGGGCGTGGTGGCGCAAATCTGTAATCCCAGCACTCCTGAGGTGGAGGCAGGAGGATCCCTGTTAGTCTGGGCTACATAGTGAGTTCCAGGTCAGTCTCAACTACATAGTGAGACCCTGTCTCAAAACACAAAAAAAAAAGTTTTTACAGTACTCCAGTGTATGACTATTTTTTTCAAATTAGAGCCCAAGGTATTTTACTTGAATAACAAAATGTAAGGGGTGTTGCTGGGCGTGGTGGCGCAAATCTGTAATCCCAGCACTCCTGAGGTGGAGGCAGGAGGATCCCTGTTAGTCTGGGCTACATAGTGAGTTCCAGGTCAGTCTCAACTACATAGTGAGACCCTGCAGTACTCCAGTGTATGACTATTTTTTTCAAATTAGAGCCCAAGGTATTTTACTTGAATAACAAAATGTAAGGGGTGTTGCTGGGCGTGGTGGCGCAAATCTGTAATCCCAGCACTCCTGAGGTGGAGGCAGGAGGATCCCTGTTAGTCTGGGCTACATAGTGAGTTCCAGGTCAGTCTCAACTACATAGTGAGACCCTGGACCCTGTACATCCAAAAAAAAGGGGGGGGGGTGCATGTGACTGCAGATTAACTGAGTGCAAAGCAGCATCACATTTAGTGAAATTCTGTTCTCTTATTAATTATTCCTCTTTTAACAGGTGGCCATTTATGCCACGCTAGTATTTACACACTATATACGACTTCCTATATTCATCTGATCAATAAAACATTCTTACACAATTTTTACGAATTTCCAAACTTTGAAGGTATTTAGTTATTGCAAAATTTAACTCACATACAGAAAATCACCTAAATTCCTTTTCAAGCTTTTGCTTCTGTATTTGATGTTTATTAAGCCACTCTGACAGGGATGAGGGAAATGTTAGCTGTATAGTTAGTTTTCGTACGAGAACATATAATTATGTAAGGCCACTGTCCTAAACACGCACATATTACCTCGAGTAAACTAGCAAATAAAATCAAATCCTGCCGAAACAACAAAAAAGTCCCATTCGTTTGGCAAGGTTAAGCTGTACAGAACTGAAAGAGTCTGCTCCCATTTTACTTTACGCCTCTAGACAGAGCCCACGCTCGTCTCTAGAACTTTGCTAAACGCCCGCCAATGTGTTTATGCGGCGCTCTGAGACCCAGAGAGCAGGTCAAAAGCCGCGTCAGTTTTTCGGCAAAGCCAAGGAGCGCGCAGCCCGCCCCCCTCGTCCGAGGCCCCGCGGGAAGAGCGACTTCCGCGCCCG